ATAAGACATAGTTTATTCACGTCTTTAAAGTTGTATCGCTTCAAAACTGCTATGCGTTTCTGAGGATAATGAAAATATCGGGACAAAAAAGGTATTGGCCTGGTATATAAACCTCGAAGAAGGAAGAATTTAAATTTTTAACGTGAATCTTTAGGGAATGGTGAAGTTTAATATTCTAACAATCATGGCTGCATAATATCTCCACGTACTACCCTACCAAAGGACCTCTTTCTTTCAAAATATTTCTGAGACTAAGTATATAACTCCTCGGTCTGAGAAAAAACCTAATAATTTTTAAGTAACTCTGACAAAATATCTTTCAAAGAAACACAGCACTGTTTGGCAGCAGAAATTCATACATCATTTCCGACAGCAATACTTGTACCTATTTAGAATATATAAGTAAATTACTTCCTTTTTTTTACCCAAAAAAGATAAAAAAAATACTAAAAGCATTCCGAAGGTTAGTTTAGAGTTCAGTTTAAGTATTCACATTCAAACCTTATAAAGGCACTCAAAATCACCAAAACTTTACTTCTTAGGGAGTAAACCTCTCACAAATAACCTTGTAAGAGGTTCTATTATCCTAAATTCTCGTAGAAATCCCATAAAATACTTAAGCATGGTTTCAACAAGAACCTTCAGGTTGTACACAAACCTGAAGACACGTCATAGCAGAATAAGATGTAAGCACATTTTATTTTTACAAACTGTCAAAAGCTGGAATAAACTGCCATCTAAAGCGGTCTATAATACCTCTTAGAGTCTTCTAAAGTAAAAATTGACATATTCCTAAAGATGATGAACAGTATTTCAGCTTTTATGATCAACTGTTACAGTAAATATGGAAACTAGCTAATCAAAGTCTTCCATTCCGTCTATTATCACCTTAACCCTTTGAATGCTTCCCGGATAAATGCCTCTCCTAAAATTGTTTTGATAAACTCAAAATTTCAGGGCAGATAGCTTAATACAAACAGGCTGTAGACTATGCCTCATATGGAACAGGTCAATTTGTATTCCTAGCGGTTATTTCTAAGTTATTCCTTGAAAAATGAAAATTAATCATCTGCTCCTTGTTAGTTTGATTCACTTAAATGTAGTGAAAAATAGAAACAGATTTTTAATACATTCTTTGTTGGAAAACATTTTAAGAGCTGGATAAAATTAGTTATATACGGTAGTTGATCTCCATAATAACTCACTTTCATGACTAACGCATGACAGCAGTGAGACTATAATTTACGAAATACCTTGGAGTAATACCGAAGTGACCTCAAGAAAATCAATCTACTTCTTAGGGACTAACGACAATTGCAAGTTGGTGCGAGGGGTAAAGATTAGGATTCAGCAATAGTTTTCATCACAAACAGACGTCAGCTACAATGCTAAAATACTATTTAACTGTAGAAAAAAATGGCATCAGGCTATATGAATCTCCAGGTGTTTTCTGCTCTGTTTATAATAATACCATCAAAATATATTACTCAAGCGCAATAGCTTCTGCTACTCAAAATCAGTCTTGGTATATTCTTTAAAGAAATGAGAAGTTTATCCTAGTTTGGTAGTACTCCCAGAAGACCAATCACTGGAATGGCACTTGAGAAAGGAAAAACTGGGAAAAATTTATGTTCCTTACTTTTCTTGCTACTCTGTTTTAGAACCTTAAGATACTGAGTGACTGTACTAACTCAGGTATTTGAATACAAATATCAGTTATAAAGTACTAGGAGTTGCAAACCAAACTAATAAATGCTTTAACGTTAGAAATGAAAACGTATGATAAATTTTGATATTTGCCGTTTACTACAGGGTGTTTCCAGAAGGATGGGCAAAGAGAGTAAGCATCCGTGGAAGAGCAAATGGTGTTGTCACCTCTTCCATCCCCGGAAAATTAAATAACATTTCTGAGATTTGCAGTGACTATAATAACTCAAAACGGTCGACTGAAGCAGTTGATCGAATAATTGAAACCATTCAACAAAAGCGAAAACAAATCCAGGTAACTGTTTCACGTATTTCTGGAATAGCTTTTGCACTTCTTACAGTGGAGTTTACCTGCTGAAACCTAACTCCTAATTAGTCTATGAGTGCATCAATATTGTTAACGCTGTGATTATATTAGAACTCCGCTTCAAACTAAACGGTTATAAGACCTATTTCTTAGGTTAAAAAAACTGGGTTGCGAAAATCTTTGTTTTGTTCCTCCGACTATTGCAGATTATTTTGCATTTAAGTGGTAACAACCTTTGAAATATGGAAATGTTCACAGTCGATTCTCATTTATTTCATGTGAATTTTTAGCATAAAGATGAAAAGCGTTCATCATCATTGACAGCAACGTAGAACTTTGCACGTAAGTACGGCAGTTCAAGTTGCCATACCACATTGGCACAGAGATATAATTGTCATTTCAAATCCCATAGAAGTAGAGGTAGTTAAAGTATTAGAAGTAATCGAAGAGGTTAGGGTTCGAAGGTGTTATTCAAGAAGCATAATTCAGTGAGGTAAATTTAGAAAAAAAAGATAGAGGTGATGAGGAATTTGGAAGGTTAGAATTTCATAGAACACAAATAATAAATGCACCTGCGCCATTGCAAATGGTTTTCAGTTATGTCATTCAGGGTCTCCAACCATCGATTATTATCATCTCGCAGACCTTTAACCAGGTAGCCTACATCTACCAACATGACTCAGTCCCCTTCTCAGTGACTTTAGTGGATTTCTGCCATGTTCTGGTCTGGCCTCCCCTAGTTTCCGTCCAACCTATTCCTACATTGCAAAACATAACTCCACGAAGCAGTCGGTGATAAGCATTCGTAACAGATGTCCAAAACACCAAGTTTCAATACTTCATCTATTCAAAAGCCATCCTTACATAGCACCCGTTTCTTAACAACAGCATTGCTTACTCGTTTGTCCCACAATACTCGAATTATGCTTCGTAGGCACCTATGATCGAAAACAAGCAACCTAAAAATATCTTCTAACCTGATTGGACATGCTTCAAAGCTATAAAGTAGAACGGAGCGAAATGCTGCACAGTACACTCGTCCTTTAGTCAGCAGACAGATATCTCGCCTGCGCCATAAGTGACGAAGGTCGGAAAAAGCCAATCAAGCTTTCTGTATCCGTGCAGAGATTTCGTCAGTCACCAGGCAATCAGCACTGATGAGATTCCCAAGATAAATGAAGCGGTCAACACGCTCGACTACTTCACTCCCTATCACTAGTTCAGGTGCCGATCAAACCCAATCTTGAAGAAACATTTTGCATTTCGAGGGGGAAAACCGCATCCCGAACATGCTTACATTGTTGCTTAGGGTAGTCAGAAGACTCTGCATTTTGTCAGCGTCTTCACCAAGTAGGACTATGTCATCGGCATATTCTAAGTCAATAAGCGAGCCACCTGGTAGAAGGTCTACTCCTTAAAATTCAGACGAGGATAAGGTTATTTCTAGGAGCATGTCTATGATAAAATTGAACAAGAGTGGAGAAAGTGGACATCCCTGACGGACACCACTTGAAGTAGAGAATTCCGGTGACAGTTCGCCATAAGCTCTCACTCGACCAGTGGTGTTTGAGTAGAGAGCTTGTACAAGGTTAATGTACTTATTTGGTACACCTCTCAATGACAGACACTGCCACAGAACCTTACGATCAACAGAGTCAAATGCCACTTTTAGGTCCAGGAAAACAACTATTGTTGGACATCTAAATGTGTGTCTGTGTTCCAGGACCTGTCGTAGTGTGAAGACGTGGTCTATACAACCACATCCAGGTCGAAAACCAGCCTGGTTTTCTCTAGTCTGCTCTTCACGGGCTTTCGTTAAGCGTCGAAGTATTACTGTGTCCAATATTTTAGATACTATATTAGTTAGACTTATTCCCCTGTGATTGTCACAAGAAGACTTTTGTCCTTTCTTATAGATTGGGACAATCAGTGATTGAGACCAGTCGGACGGGATTACGTCCAGTTCCCAGATTCTACCTAAGATCTCGGTCAACGTAGCTGCTAAAACTGGATCACCATCCTTAAATATCTCGGGGGTCAGTCTATCAGGACCTGCAGCTCGCTCTCACTTCAGATTTCCTAACGCTTTCTCAACGTCATTAAGACTAGGGGGACTTACGTCGATTTGCCATTCAGGATGACTGGAGATCGTGGGTAACCGAAGTATGGCTGAATTCCAGTTGGGCTGATCCCCGAAGTGTTTCGCCCATCGATCCAATTTCCTGGATTGAGAATAAATGATACAGCCATCTTTTTCCGAGGTAGTCTCACTCAAGTTAAGGTTCCTAATACCGGTTTCCCTGATAAGTCTGAATAGTGGCCTACTGTTGCCTATCGCCTCTGCCTTTTACATTTCTCTTGCTTCTGCTGACCACCACTGTTCTCGATCATTGTGAAGGCTTCCTATGAGCATGCGCCTGATCTGACTCCGCTCCTCATCGTGCTCACAGCCAGGGAAGATGAGCTTTCGAGCATCTTTCAGTTCGGTAGATGCTACTGAAGTCGACAGCTTCTTCCTAACCTTATGGTTTACCTTACTAGAAGATATCACCGCTGTCTCCAAAGGCTTTTTCATATCATTCCAAGCTGCCGCAGGGTGGGCATAATTTACTACATTACTGCTTAACTGTTTTTCTAGTTGTTCCTGAAATATATTCTTATCTTTATTATCATTAAGTAGACCCCTAACAGGTTTCCTTGCGATATTTTTCTTGCGTACAGTAAGGCGCAAACAAATACGCGCTCGCACTAGAACATGGTCTGAGTCTAAACAAGTGCTCGAGAATGAGCGGCAGTCTTCGATAGAGCCTTTTCACCGATGGCTTATGGCAATGTGATCTAGTTGGGTCCATCGTTTGGTCGTCTTTGGGGGTCGCCAGGTCAAGAGGTGTTTTACCTTATGCTTAAAGTTAGTGTTTACTAGGAAAAAGCGGTTATCTGAGCATAGCTGCAGCAGTCGGTCGCCATTATCTGTTCCCTGAGCCGCGACAACATAAGATTGACACAGGTGTCTTTCCTTTTCTCTGAGTCTACCTACTTGAGCGGTAAGGTCACCAGCCATTATTACTATATCAGAGCGCTTAACATTTTAGAGAAGTTTAGAGGGGTTTCTATAAAACTTATCTTTCATGTCGTCTGAACTGTAGTCAGTGGGAGCGTAGGCAAATACGACGAAGAGGCAGTGGCGAGTATCCCTATCCTTCCGAGTCCGTACCGATCCGTTTAGTCGGACAGCGTATAAGCGACTGTCTATTGGGATCCATTTTAAGAGAGCTAGTTCTGCCCTAGGACCTAATCCGGCGAGGCCACGAGAAGCGGCATCAGGGCTTCCAGAATCACGTAGAGTAAACCTTTTTTGTTTCTATCTGCACTAGGTGAGATCGAAATGATGATCTTACTCGGGTCCTGTATGCGCGTTTTGGAGACGCAACATACATCGATCGCACGGGGTTGCTAATGAAGACTGTTGCCCTATTTGGTTCTAAGGTTCGAACATTAAAAGCTTCTATATATAATTTAGTACGGGGTTTCAGGAGACCAGGAATAATGTTTTGAGAGTTCGAACTGTTTGCTTCAGTGGCGTGAGGTGATAAACGATCAAAGAAGGGTTGGTCGAGGAGATATGAGAGTTATTAAGAGGTGTAGAAAGAACATGATTGTGACCAATTCGGTCTCGTGTGCTTTTATGGGTAAAAGGGCGGTTGTCACTTCCCGGCTGACCACATCGTGGAAGGTTGTTTCTTGACGAACCTGAAAAAGAAGATAGATTAGAATTGGTCTTAACGACTTGCGAGCGTGACCGCAGAGCCCAGGGGACAACTGCTTGAGGCCGGTCACGCACGGCCTTTTTATGAAACGTTTTTTGAGTGTTAGCTCCGCTCTTGAAAGCCCTTAGTGGGCACCCTTACCGACGGAGAGGGAAATCCACGAGGTAGGGTGAGGTGTGACATTTTTAGGGTCGACCTTTCCTAACCCTTCCTTCCCTGTGAGAAGGCAGCATCACTGCAGAAGCTAGTTGTCTGAGGGAAACACCCCTCTGCAGTCAGTAGTACGACCTCGCCCTCAGACCTTGGGTAGCTGCTTTTAGTCTCATCTTTCTCCAACCGACCTTCCTGGCATGGTAGAACCTTTAGGAATATTTGTTCTAGCCAATATAACTCGGTTGGGTCATCATGATAGGCAAGCCCGACCACCACGTCAAGGTAACAGCTACGTTTGTGGCAGCAGCGTTGGTCAAAATCATATCAATCACTCTCATAGCTCAAAACAACTAGTCGAAGCCTTTATTATTTGATTTTTGGGAAGCTGATAGCTTTAGTAGCCAAAGAGTTACCCGAACAAACTGCGAATTCAAAAGATTCCTCAAAGTCCAAAGGTATTTTGATATCTCGTTTAGCAGCTTCGTTTCATTTTAACGGACGAGTTTAAAGCCAGAACTGAAAGGAATATAAACTGATACCAGATATTTCAAAAATGTAAATCCATCAGTTATATTTCTGATGATACCTCCAGTGTTTAGTTCAGTATATTATGTTTCAGTTAATGATTTAACCCGATGTATATAATTATGTGACAATGGACAGCAATATTTCTGTCAGTCATTATTAGGACTTATCAAAAAATCTGAAAACATGTTTTGAAGTAAAATCTCTATTATTTGTAACAGTGATATTTAAAATTAATTCCTTATAGGAAGCTGACAGTAATCATATCAAGTCAATCACATACAGCTCTACCCAACCAACGCTCCTGAATTCTCAATCTTGTAACTATAAATTACCAAGGTTAGTATTCAGCTACCGATTTCTTTTCATAACTAAAACTTTCTTTTTATCTAACCATGTAAAGATTAGACAAATGATGTGAATTTATTAACTACTAGGTAAATTTTATTACTACATTATGCATTATTTTCTACAAAACTCTAAATGGGTTATTCCAAAAGTTTAATCTTTGAGTGATTATCATGATAGAATGAAATTCCAGATAAGTTAAAATGTCTTTCACTTTATCTGTATTAGAATTATGTCATACCAGCCACCAATTTCTGTCAGCTGTTTTGCTATTACTTAATTTTAATCATTATGAATAAATGCTTTTGTTTTTTTTTATACTCAGAGCATTTGTTCAACGATCACGTGTTCAACAAATAATTGATGAGTTTCTTTACAAAGCTAGAAAACGGTAGGTAGACAATTTCTAAGTTTAGCCTTTTAACAGTTGTATCAATTTTTTTTTGCAAAAAATGCTTTTTGAAGGTATGCTGAAAAATTCAAGAATTGTATTGAATTTGAAAAATTTAACGATGACTTTCGATCAATAAATGATGTCATGCTTTCAAAAACCAATAAAAATAGCTTAATGTTATATAGTCAAGTCTTAAATCGTTTTGTATTTTGTTCATTTTGATAATTTTTTGCTTAGTGCTAGTGAATGTAGGAGACCGTTATAGAATACAGTAACTCAAGCTAATTTATGTTTGATATATGATTAAAATCTACCATATGATAGAGTAGTAAATTAGGAAGGAACAAAATTGTGTACATTAGTTTGTTTAACAGTTTGTATTTAGCCTAACTTGGGTAGTTCAGTGAAGATTTCTGTTTTTCATAGTACTTAGTTATTATTACAATGAGTGTCTTTCTTAATTTTTTATTCAAGAACCTTTTTAAAATCAGTACGCGAAGTAATTCATGACTTACCCCATACATTTTTCAGAAAGTTGTAGCACAAAAGCTGTAAAAAATAAAATAAGTGACTAAATGCTCCTAACTAGTAGTTGAATGTGAAAAGGAATGGCAATTGTCAATGAAATTTTCTTGTAAATATGAAAATAGTTTTCTCAACAAGTGTTTGTATTCATTGCAAACTTTGGAAGTCTTGGCATGTTATGGAGCTTTCTCCTTTTAGATTAAGAATTTTCATGGTTCTTTACCTGCAGACTTTTCTTAAAAACGAATAAGACATCTAAAGACTCAGTAGAAATTAGGTGCCTTTAATAGCGTAACTACTCTCACTGGATTGTTTTAAAATCCTTATAATCCTCTTAAACCACCAGGATAAATAATTAAAAAGGTATAGGAGATGTAATGTACTATTATTAATCCTTTGATGTTAGAAATATCAATAATTGAAGTTTTTATAATTAACTTCACGCGTTAAGAGTTTATTATGTATCATATAAATACTCACTTCAGCCCAAAGAGGTAAATTATTGTACGATTGAGTTAAAATTAAAAAAATAACATTTATTTGATGTTAACAGAAAATCTTTCAAACAGTTTTGCTGGAATATACTGTCTGCTTTTCTACAACTAAAAAAACACGTGTAAGCAAAACTATAAAGCTTCTACATCACCGTATCTTGCACATAAGTTGTAAAAGCTGAACTGATCACGGTTCCATGGACTTTTTCATTCTGAAGAACATTTCATTTACTTCTCGATTTTTTCACTTGTTTCATACAAACATGTATGTACTGACGGATTTTTATTGTGATATAAAAAGAAATAGAAAAATTTCTTTGAATAATGTATGCTGAGAATTTTTTTATTGTTCTGAACATACAAAAAATTGAATAAAATCAAGACTGTTCATTTTATTTAGAGTATTCATCTCATAATAACTGGATAATTACCCTGTTTAAAACAGTCTTTTAAGAGCAGTCAATAAATTTAAAGACTTAAAAATTCATAAACTAGTCGTTATTTAATGAGACTCGATAAACAAGATGCCTCCTTTTGAATAATAATATTCTTCAATCATGGGTATTTTATTTCTCTGTCAACAACAATAGATATATAATTATACTTTTATTTCATATCGTTTGTACTACTAACAGGATTACATAGCTTAACAAATTACATGCAATTAATTGTGCAAACAGTTCTAGTTGTTTTATTCTTCACAATTTTTTAGTGAAATCAGATGTAGATTTGCTTAATAAACGCATGATTCTAAACATTTGATTGGGTTATTGTTTTATAAGTCCTATAAAACCCAAACAAACAGGAAAAAATGTTTGTATGACGATGACCTAAATATACAGTACTTCCTGTATTTTAATCAATCAAGAGCAATTATTTCTTTTCACCAGGCAAAATGCACAAATATTTTCGATTCCTTTCAACAGTGAGATTATTAGTCTAGTTGTTGATAGCGATAAAATTTTTAACGAAGACATTGTCACCAATGTTTTCTTTTTAAAATACAAGTTAATAATAACTAATACGCAAAAAATATTCTAAGCACGTTATCTTTAATACAGTGGTAATTCTCTATATTGGAGTTGAACTAATACGATAACCAAATGATAACTTGGTCAGTAGATGTAAAACAATAAAATATTTGATAAAAGTAATACTAATCATCAAGTTTGTATTCGTAAAAAGTTAGCATAACGCATTTTTAATTATGACAATAAACTTTACCGTTTTGCACCATTAAGGGACACTTTTATGATCCTTTTTATTTTTTTTAGAGGACTGGGTGGTCGGTCATCTAAAGAAAGAAATAACCTTTCAGAAGAAATCAAATGTCATCCAGTTAATCGCGAACGACATCAGTCTGGCGAGGGAGGAGAAATTATTTCTACTGTTAAAGAATATTTACCTCCAGAAGTGTATAAAGATTTTGCATTTGATGCAAATTGCAATAACTCTGATACAGAATTGAATCGCACTTGTTCTTCAGGGTTTTACGTGAGTGTAATCAGTTCAGTCTTTTTATTACATTCAGACTTGTAATGGTCTAATGTGCCTCCGAAAAAACTTCCCTCATAGACAGTTCATATTAACAGAAGTAACTTGATACAAAACAACATATATATGCTAAACAACTTTTCAGACACTTTATAACCCCTATAACTATTGATTTATTGTGTCAGCATATGATCTGGACGCAAGTAAACACATAATTAATCCCTTAAAGGTTGTTAAGATAATTACTCACAGAACAGAACGAAAAAATGAATTGACAAAAATCCTATCATACCTGATAGAAGTGATACATTTGAATTCTTTCACTTTGAAGAAGGATTAGCCAATCTGTCTTAAAAGTAATTATGAATTATTCACTTTGAATAATTTCGAAACTCTGTATAGTACAATTTGCTTTGTGCTGAAATTTCGGAGTAACAAAAATTGGTGCAAGATCGTTAACAGTAATACTTAAACAGTGTGTAAATATATTCTGTTGAAACTAAAAATGACTTTGATAATGATTAAAAGCACTTATTGTATACCGCTTACAAAATTCTGTACTTCAATCTTTATAACTAGAATTACTAAAGTTAAATCAGAATGTTTGTCAGATTACACCTTGCGCTGAGTACATAAGGTATAAAGGCTATAAAATAACAACTATCAAATCAAGTGCATATTTAATTCATATTTTCACTCAACTTTATTAGTTATTTTAGCGTAAATTCAGTTCTTAATTATTTTGTCTAATATTATGAATTATGTTTACAGTGGATATCGTGTGTTGCATTTAGAAAAAAGTTTATGGAAAGGGAGTGAGTAATAAATTTCAATGTAAAGATTGAACTGCTTTTAAAAATTTGCAGACGGTAATGACATGAAATAAGTTGTATTTATGAAACTATAAGATTACTATTACATATATGCTGATTATCTATGTACAACTTTCAAAGTTAATTCTTGATGTTTTTGATCAGTTTCCTGAGAACAAATATCACCAATCATAATGCATAGTGGTCATATATTATCCCGAAATGACTGATTTTTAGATGTGTTAAGCAGCTTAAAAGAAAAAACAAATGACATTTCAAACGTTAAAACAATTGTATATACTTATTACACTTGTGAACTCATTTGTAGATATATATGTTCAAACTGTTAATCCTTCTTGATTTAACCATTAAATAAAGAAGTATGGTGAGATAGGTTGTTTGCAAATATTTATTTCAGTACTTCTTTGTATCGTATATTTGAATTTCCTCTCTTTTTAGTCACGGAGTTTTAGTATTCGATCAAACTCACCAGATTTATTTGATCAACAAGAAAATAAAGTCAATTCACAAACTCATCTAAAGCAACCAATGAATGCAGTGGATAAACAAACAAATTTCGTATTGTTTGAAAAACCTTGTGAAACACATTCTTTCAAGTCTGATTATGACAAAATAGCTCAGACTGATGACTTTTATTTTTCGCAGAACTCTCGAAAAATGCTACAATCTCCACAAATAGTAGAAGTTCCATTATCAAATAACTACCCAACAAATAATTTTTACATTGCCAATGACAAAAGTGCTTACGCCGTAAGCTGTCGTTTAGAAATCATTTTCATTTATATAATTAATATAAATGAATTGAATGAATGTTAACTTTTTGTTAGTTTCAACTAGACACAAAAATGCTGCAAAATATTCCGTTTATGATTTCAAGATAAGTGTACTGGATGAATTTTAAGCTAAATAAAGATTTTCAACCTACGTAATAATGGTAATATTAACAAGTGAGATTCGTACTTAAAGTAACTCAAAAACTACATTATTTTATGGAAGTTGACTAAGGAAAGTACAAGATAGCGTAACAGAATAAGATTCATTGATTTATTTCGAGGTTCATCTTTAGCTGCTTACAACCAAGAAAAAGTAGTATTAATTACTTTTAACTTATGCGTATATTTTTTATCATAAGCTAATGGTCATTCAGCAAACAGTCGTACTTTATTTTTGGGTTATACCCTATAAACTACTTAGAAGTTAAGAACATCAGTGAATATTACCCTATATTTTGTTTCATGCTTCATATATGCTACTAGGATAACAATTAAAAATAACTTTTAAAACTTGTGGTAGGAATGTACAACCTCACAAAATTTGCCTCCTTGCAACTAAATTTCAGTATGATTCATGAGAAGAGTATTCCTATTAAGAAGCAACGCTAACGGTCATTTTTGTCTTGATTAATGAGCACGGAGGTCTCAGCATGGTGGAAATATGAGTGTTTTATTGATCAGATGAGTCTTAGATTGAGCCATGTAGGGAAGTGCAGATGTGGTTGGGGTCCATGTGGTCCTTCAGTTAGAGTTATGGAGATTGTTTTTTATTTCTGAAATCATGAGTCAATCAATATTAGACCACTATTAGTAACATGAAAGGACTGTACGGCCGCTTCGTCCGGTTTTAGGACTCATCAGCAGTGCTCATCCGACTCCCTCTATTTGAAGGATTTAAACCCGGGACCCTCGATCTCACCACTTCTCGACAAGTGCTTCTATACTCATTCTAAAGTATTTTTAGTAGAAAAATATTAAAGGAGGTATTTTAAATGTTCCTAAATTATTGAAGTTCACTTTTAGAGATGATGGTCTAAAGCCCATGGTATAGTTACTATCGCATAAAAAATTTAAGAGAGCTTTTACTCGCTTATTTCTGATACTAAAGTTTATTCTGGAACTGTTTTTGTTGAGAATACATATCTTTGCATCGACAACTACCCATTCCACGATTTGACCTAATTACATGCGATCACTTTCTTGTGCTATGAATCCAGTTTTTGAATCTTCAGTAACATACATGCATACTTTTCAAGGTGCATTCTTTAGTTATTCAACAGCAATTTGGAGTTTCATTAAATGTCAATGCCAAGTACTCTTAAATATGTCATAATGTGAGATACTTTACTTGTATTTTCCTACAGATGGAAAATAAAATTATACCAACAAATTTATATCATACAATTCCTCATGTTTTATCGCAAAATCAATTTGATCAATACGGGAACCAAGTGATTAGATTTAATGATGTTGGATTGTGTACAAACTGTCATATGCTGTACAGCAAACAAACCAATACAAACCATCAAATTGATAATATTTTCAATTTTAATCCAAATTTCTATCAAAGCATACAGAATTCTAACTCTACCAACAAATTTTTACAAGATCGTTGGAAGTTCAACTTCGCTAATCAACCATGTAATTTAAGTAATCTGAACTTTCACTCAATAGAAAAAAACAAAGATGAAATTCAAGATTTTTTAGATGACTATGAATTCAGGTATGTTCAACTTCCAAATGAAATACTGTTATGTAAAGAATAAAGTATCTAAAAAAATAAAACAGTATCAATGAACTTTATTATATTCACATAAAATTATAGGTATTTGAAAATTTCAACTAGTAACTAAATTAAGCTTTTCTGAATCGGAACACTTAAGAGTTCATTGAAATTTAAGTTTTGTGCTTTTTTATTATTTACTCTTTACAAATTTTCATTGACAAATATATGAATATCGATGATGTAATAGTATTAAAATAATGAAGTTGGTTTCTTATCTAGTAATATTTTAAGCTTGCTTTTTTTAGAAATTGTGTAAATTTATAGAAAGCTGCTTACTTTCATTTCTATGTATCTGTGCTAAAACTCTATGAATAGTATGTTTTTAATTAGAACGGCAATAACTTATATTTGGCGTATATGTATATGAATTTTTATCACTGTGTTTCTTTATCTAATGTTCACTGCCAAGGCTGTATAATGAACACCCACAAACAAATTAATAATTATTTACTCCTTTCAGGTAATAAGTTTAATGAAAGCATAATTGTTGCAGAACTATTGCCAGTCTCAAGCCCAGATAAAGGAGACGGGTTGGGCTAAAAAACGCTGACTAGGAAAATAATCCAAACCGTTTGAATTCTGTTCCGAGAGTTGGATGAACTTCATTTAGAAGAGTTATCAAGCCTTATGATGAAAGCCAACTTTCTTCAGAAGTCACGGGGCTGTTAAAAATTCTCACAACCAGAACAACCGGTAATATAGGTACATGGAATATTTGTACATTGTGGGAGACCAGAAGAACCATTCATGGTGCTGCGGAAATGAGAAGATACAACCTGGTGGCGTTTTGAATGAGCGAAACCCATTGGACGCAACCAGGACAAAAGACTAGCTTCAGGCGAGATGCTGTCGCACTCTAGTCATAAAGAAGAAAATGTCTCACACATACAAGGAGTTGCACTGATGATGTCAAAAGGAGCACAAAAATCAATTATAAGATGAGAATCGCAGGAAACCAGGATCATCAAAACATCCTACGAGACAATTAATGACATACAATGCTATGCGCCCACCAACGATAACACGGAAGACGATAAACATCAATTTTATATGAGGTTGCAGTCAGTCTTCGAGAAATGCCAAGCAAACGACCTGACCATGTTGATAAGAGATTTCAAAGCAAAGGTTCGAAAGGACAACACTGGATATGAAGACATCATGGGAAGACATGGACTAGCAAAAAGGAACGAAAACGGTAAGAGGTTCACAAGTCTTTGTGCTGTCAAAAAAATGGTTACAGCTTGCACCACATTTCCACATAAACGCATACACAAAGCGATATGGGTTTGACCGAATGGCACTACACAGAAAGAAAATGGGCCATATCTCCATCAACAAAAAGTTCAGAAAAAAAAGGGGGACGCATGAGAGCTGAAATAGCCTCAGATGATCACCTGGTGGTGGCCAAGACGAAACTGAAACTAAACAAGTACTAGAAGACTGGTAGAATAGTATAGCAAAAGTTAATTACGGCCTTCATCCGCGATACTGACAAACTGAACCAATTCAACATAGCCATCGACAGTAAGTTGTAAGCCTTTCACAGTCTACTCGATGAAGAGGAAAGTACTGTGAAGAACAACTGGAACTCTGAGGATACGCTGGATAGCATTCAAGAAAGGAAGAACAGAAAAACAGCAACCAATAACAGACAAAGAAGAGCAAATCAATCCAAGACACAGGTAGAAAACACAGAAGTAAACAAGCAGGTGAAGAGGAGCGTCACAGCTGATAAATGGAAATATGTGGAAGATCTATCAATGATAACAGAAAAAGCTGCAAGAGAAGTAAACATGCGACATCTATATGATACGACGAGCTAGTCAAGAACAAGGAAAGCAAACTAATCACAGACATTTAAGAACAGCGAGATAGGTGGGTAGAGCAGTTTGAACGCTTGAATATACCAGCCTCACTCAACCCACAAAAGATCGAAGCAGCACCTAATGATGTCGAGATGGACGTTAACATACTAACAACTGAAGAAATAAGCATAACCATTACGCAAATCGAGAGTAGCAAAGCAGCTGGACCAGACAACATTTCAGCTCAGGCAGTGACTCCGAAGACAGTCCATACTCTGTTCAACAAGATTTGGAAGAAGGAACAAGTACCAACTGACTGGAAAGAAGGAAACTTCATCAATATACCAAAGACAGATCTAATATCAGTACCACTCCTCATGAGAGTTGTTGAACCGGGTAAGTTGAAAACTGTCGGTCGATGGCCAATGTTCCACGACGGGAAATAGGTGTAATTGTTTATGTAGTGAAGAACTGTGATTCTTGTTTAAATATTAGAATGATGACTGTTTAACTCATTTGACTGCTAGTTATTGAACTTAAATCTTGTTTCTATTTATACAGACACTTTATGAAGGCGGGCGTTCAACAACTCACTGGAATTCGACAAGATAATTGCTGTATGCATAATTTTGAAAATGTAGGGAGTGAACAAGTTTCACAACACAATTTTCACAAATTCACAGATAAATTTACGAGAGCTCATACTCATTCATCTAAACATTGTGAGCCATCACCAGTGTTTCCTTTCAAAGTAATCAATGCTGAACGTAATAAGTTGAATGAAACTTATGTATGTAATCAAGATTATCAAAATGAGGATATTATCAAATTTTTTCCAAATGATGATTTTAGTCACGGTAAAAATGTTAACGCTTTTAAACACACTGATTTAAAACTGGAATCTGGAGAAAAGGTTCATTCATTAGGTTTATCCTATTCAACTGATACAATGAATAATATGAAATCTGCTACAACATCAACAGTATCAACTCAAACATATTCAACAGATGAAAAATGTGAAGATACATTTTATATCCCATATAGAAAACAAAACAATTTTAACATGGAAAAGACATATTACACGAAATCTCTAGATGCATCAGAAGTAAGCGTTAACATTAGTCACCGTCTGGGACATTTGATCATTAATGGCATATATATATATATTATTTTCGTTACAGGGTTGTGGAGATTGTTGAGTTTCATTAAAATTAAGGATCAACCAATGTTAGATCACTATTAAAAGCCTAGAACCGTTGAACGGCCGTTCCCCGTTCTAGTATGAGGCTCATCAGCAGTGCGCATCCACAAACCTTATGGAATCGAACCCAAGACCTTTGATCTCACGCGCTGACACGCAATATCGGGGATCGATTGAGGTTAGCCATTAACACCACTGGTTTCCGTTTCAGTGGTCAAGAGGTTCAGTGTTTGGGCTTGTGACTGAAGGTCCTGGGTTCGATTTCCACATGCAGGTTCGCGGATGCGTACTGCTGACGAGCCTCAAGCTGGAACGAGACGGCAGTTCAATGCTTCCAGTATATGTATTAAACTTGTAAGCTTAATCAATGAACCGGTTTAAATTGTTGATCACTAGAATTATTAAGTAAGTAATTGTAAACAGTGATGAATGTAGATTAATGTTTGTTGAAGGATCTTCGTAACTGTCAAGCAATGGATGAAAATGAACGACAATTTTAATTTAAAGAAATAATCTACCTTAAAATATATCAACACATAATACTACTTAAAAATGTTTTATAGTTTATTATAGTGACAAATTTGTTTTTATGCTTTATAACAGGGGTCATTCTTTAACTTTCCACAAAATCGATTGGATTTAACTTTGTGCAATTACGTCTATGCAAACGATTGTATGAAATGATATACGATTAAGTGATGATTTCGCATGCAAATAGGGAGGAATGATACAACGGTTCTTTGCGAAATGAATAAATATCAATAAAAAAGACACGTAGACGACTAAATAGATTTACTTCCATTCAATAAATAAGTTACATATTAAGAAAAAAGTTCATACAATAATAGACGTAGCGCAAAATTACTCAGAAGTAGGCCATCAATATGCATTAATGAGTACTAGTGGATCACTCAGAATATTTGAACGAAAACCTGGAAATTATCCTTAACTGATGTTTTTTATACATCAAACTTCCATAAGCATTAAGTTGAACTGGCTGATTTGCAGATAGATACTGATAATAGCGACTTGTTAAGTAGTAGACAATGTTTTTTTTAAAGAATATTCTAATATTAATCTAATCCAATCTCGTTTCATACTAGAACACCACTTATCCACCTCTGCCATTAATGCTTGTAACCTATAGGCAATATCGAAGCAATCCGTACAAGATGAACATAAGCCAAAGAGACTGATCAATCGTAGTCTTAAGCATTAATGGGGAGATTCAAACAACCAATACAAATGAATTAAATTTCACCCAATTGCACAAGAGAGTGGTTTCTGGACTCGGTAGCGAAGTAGAAAATGAGATGGAGTTTAGAGAGGATGGTTGTGAGTTGGAGTCCTGAAGTGAATATCAACTCTGAAATGTGAGCACATTCAGCTGACGAGCCCTAAACAGGACAAAATGCTCATCCTGGATTCCACTGTTAGCCACTATCCACCTCTGTTAATAGAACATCACTCATAGTTTGTGGATTATTCACTTATTGAATAAATGCGTTGACACTGCAGTTGGCCATATTTTCTTGTTTATCAGTTAGTGACTACTGATTCAGTATATGTAATTCTTCCCATAAGTGACTTGGTAGCTCGATGTACCTCGACTAGACTAATACGAGTATTCAACTATGTGCATCCGTCATATGCCTTATGAGCACCATTCATCTAGAGTTTTTTTTTCAAAGATTAATTTAAAATGCATGTTGTTCATTACATAAGGAAAATCTTGAGAATATCTCCACACTCAAATAATTATTTGCTTGCCATTTTTTGACCTTTTGTTTTATTTTGGTTCAATCAGCTTCACTGTGAGACCTCATTACCAACACATCAAAAACAATTTCATGATGAATCGATTATTACGAGTGAATTCACTACTGAACAATTGCCGGTACTATCATCTGTGAAAAACAAGATGCACAAACCACTGGCTACATCGACACCTTCTGGTGAAAGAGCCGATGAGAATAAGATAATTGATGAGAGAAAATCTAAAATGAAAACTAACCAATTAACAGATGTATATCACAGTTTTCAAATACCTAGAAAAATTACAAGCGACAGCATTATGAATAATATGAATGAAAGTGAATCATTTGTAATCTTGAATTTACTAAAATCGGCAGGTAAAAGTGTTTCATTTGAAAATATTGACAATGAAGAATAAAATAGAATAGAAAGACAAACAACTATTCGTGGTTGCCTTTATTCATTGTCATATTGACGCAATTAAATGATGTTTCGGTAATTTGAATAAACAAATTTGAAGCTAATTCGCTTTCTTTGAAGTCTTTATTTATAAATGTTTGCAGAAGACTGACAGAAAGACTTGATGATTGATGTTTATTAAATAAGATGCCTAAAAAAGTTGACGAATGAATATTTTCTGAGATGTATTATTCCGTGGTATGATCATTAGAGCTAGTAGTGACTAGTATGTGCTTAAATAGCCATATGAAGGAAATAACAGAGAATATAAATCTTTGCAGCTGTTCACTTTTATGACACTTCGAATGTTGACGTTCCTGATAGATATCTTATCAACGAATCAATGATTTTATAGAGTTTGTATTTTATTCTGATAACTTAGAAGCCCTTAACAGCATAACGATTTCGGGGAAGACATAATTCGGTAGGCAGGACTGTCGGTTAATGTACATTTTACACAAACACGGGAAACATTCGTAATCCTATCAACCGAAATATGTCTGTAATCCGAATTTCTAGAACATGTGAGCGCAAACATTTTTACTCAAACCAAATAAAAATTAATTAAAAATTGAAAACCTCTTAATTCTGTAAATGACTTAATGGGACTAACAATTATGATTTTCTGAATACAAATGTAAACAAGTTAAATCATATTTTATTACATCCGATCAGGAAATACTTCTTTCTAATGCAAAAGTCACAACACAAATTGGAAAAAAACTGTCACATTTTCACTCGCTTATAATTATTAATTTTAACAGTAGTAAGAGGATATTTCTTATAAAGTTCAAGGACTTTTACAGCTCTATCCAGTTAGTGACGCAGAACTATAATCAACAACAACGAAAAAAATTAAGACAAGCATCGAGGCTAATCATGCACTAAGCCAATCAAGGTTTGCTCAGTTTGTTAATAATGCTGACATTTTACAAGTAACGTTAAGCATGGGGTGTTTTATCTAGTCTAATTTTTTGCATAACCTTTGTCATTTTCTGATTAGCTGTTACTACTTTTAGTTTGCTAATTTTCGGTATCCTTGAAGGTCATGCGTTCGCTTCCATGTACAATAAGTCGTATTATTTAAATCTGTTCTGCTTGAATATCATGTTTTTCTTACACTTAGTATTTTTTCTGTGTGAACGGCTAATTGTTGAATTGTTGTATTTCAGCTCGTTGTTGAGTTAGTAGTAGAACTGTTTGCATTAAGATAGCTTATTCATTCAAACTGCAAGTATTGTAGGCTGACTGCAAACTTTAATACATATAATTACTTTTATTAGGATTTAACAGTATGCCAGTGCCGAATCCTGGTAGAGGGCGAGAACTAAATTCCTACAATTCCACAACATTCTGGGACTATAATCAAAAGCTCTAAGAAAAATAAATAACTTTCAAGGTTTAAATCGCAAACTAATCTTAAATAGATAGCTATTGAAAACCTGGAAGCACTGGACGCCATTTCATTATAGAATAAGATTCCTCAGTAGTGATTTAAACTAAAAGTCCTACAATTCTCACAAATTCCTTGTACTAACATTGGATATTTGTTAATCCAAAGAAGGTATAGTATATAATGTTATCTACCTGTTAGGAGGAAAAAAAATTCCACTGAAAATACGAAAATTGTAACTATGAAATCCGCTGAGAGAAAACATCCTGGGAAATTTTCGAATAAATTTATTCTTGAAAATAAACATCTATGAAATATATTTTTAAAAAATAGGACTTATATTTATAATTGTTGAAAAAGAAAACAAGCAAACAATTGTCAGCTGATGGTTAATAGTGGTGAATTTAGTCACAAAATATATCATTTATACAATGTTAAGATAATGAATGAGTAAATAATACATAAAGCTTTTTAGTTCTGGTTATTGTGTGCTTGACACAAACCTGAGAAAAGAGAAAAAGTCACAATGGTAAAAACAACTGATTGGTATGAGCTATTGTTAATATCATTATTTATTATCTATAAAGATACAAATATTTTACACAACAGGAAATGAAATGTTTACTTACTGAATAATCTGAAATGTTTTTACAATCACAGCTTTAGTAGTAATATAACACAGAAATGATATTAGCATTCAACTGAAAACAAAAGACAGCAGAAACTGGAAGAATACATTTTTCATTGTTTTCTAACTCACTTTTCTGGAGACTTCATGCTACATGGTTTTGAAAATGAAAAATTCACAACAGGACTGACTTGACGAACAGTAGTATTGGTTGATGTCATTAAATTGTTGAGAAGTTTGGCCACTGTTTCATTTTTGATAGAATGAGGGTTTTGTATAAAGTGACAAATTATATCTTGTGAAAATCCATTTTGTTCTAGGTCAAACACTAAACGGGCCAGTTGTTGGGCCTAAAATGAATAAGTAAAAAGAATTAATTACTTTATGTAGAAACAAAGTAACAATTTAAAAAAAACACTCTTGAAATTAATTGGAGATGAATAAATTGGGTTATGAGCTCGGTCTAGTGTTAAATGATGCGATCATCACTGGGATAGCTTTACACTAAAATAAGTAAAATGGGTCTGAATATATGAAACGTAAACACAAATGAATCAGTTTTAATTAGCAACCGATCACATTTTACATCCATGTTTTAAATCATATAGGACGGATAACATAAGATAAACCTTTACTTGGAAACGACGTCTTTTCTTACGTTTATACAGTAAAAATAAATATACAGACATGTTAGAAGTCAGTAGAACAAGCTAACAGCCATATACGAAGAAATAAGAATACCTCACTTCAATCTGAATTTCGTGCTGATGATTTTGTTCAAAACTGTTAGTGGGACATAGATGGATTTAAAGCGTGATTACGTCACTACGCGCTGATTGGCTAATTTCCTATCCAATCAGCGCCTGATCGAAGCTTGGAGAACAGGATAGAAAATTCTCGTATTATTAGCTGCATGCTGATTGGTCAAATCCAGCCCAGTCGATCACGTGAATTTTCTTCCAGAAGTTTTCTCATGTAAAGGCTATAAATAGACTAGCATTGTATTTATCTTTGCCTTCTAGCCTTCAAGCCTTCTTAGCCTTCTTCGCTTTCAAGCCTTTTTGCCTTGGCTTTCGCCATCACCTCCAGCTTCTTTTCCTTGCTATTTTGGAATACAATCCTTCCTGTTCAACCGTGTTCTGATTTGTGTTACTTGTCCAGTGTTTTGTGTCAAGAATACTAGGCAATAAGATTTAGCCGGGAAATATCGTAAGCAACCGTTACAACAGTGGCGACAGAGAAAAAGGAAAAAAATTTCAAGATGCCCATTTCAGATGATCAGCTTAACCGAATACTACAACAGCAGCAAGCACAATTAGATGCACAAATGCGGTTGTTGGAGATCCTAACTCAACAGCTCAACATCCAGTGTTCGAGTCCACATACTGTTTCAAATACGTCTTGTGAAGCAGTGGCTAACAGCATACCAGAATTCGTCTATAATCCTGAATGTGGAAATACTTTTCTGACGTGGTTCAAACGTTGGGAAGATACATTTAGAATTGAATTCGGTAAACAAGATGATGCATGGAAGACTCGGTTGTTGCTGCGGAAGTTGGGAAGCAATGAGTATGAACGTTACGCTGACCACGTATTACCGAAGTTACCTCGAGAGCTCAGTTTCGAGGAGACAGTAACTCAGCTGTCAGATATTTTCGGCGAATCAGCATCATTGTTTAGTATTAGATATCATTGTCTAAATCTGGTGAAACACGAAGATGATGAATATGCGGTTCTTGCAGACGTCGTCAACAGAGAATGTGAACGGTTCAGGTTACGCTCGTTGACGGAAGACCAATTTAAATGCTTAATATTCATCAAAGCTCTTCAGTCACCGCAAGATGCGGAAACCAGAACTAGACTTTTGATTCGAATGGACCAAGACCCTAACGTCACACTCAGAACATTGACAGATGAGTGTAAACGCCTACAAAGCATCAGGCACGACAACATGTTGATTGAACAGGTAAATCACAATTTAACCAGCAGTAGTGTCAATGCTATTACTAGGTTAAAAGTCCAGAAGCCGATAGCATCTCGTAACAAACCAACGACGGCATGTTGGTTATGTGGTGATTGGCACTACGTACGATTTTGTCCATTTAAAAAACATAAATGTCAGATGTGCCACAAACGTGGACATAAAGAAGGCCATTGCCAACCAGATCGTACGTCTCAGCCCAAGAAGAAGCGCAAACGTACTCGACATGTGGTGAAATCAGCCGAGTCTAAATCACTTTCTCTCGTAGCTGCTTTTCAAACAGAGTATGTCGTTCGGAGAAAGTATGTCACTATACAGAGGAACGGTGCGTCAGCTCGTTTTCAAATCGACACGGCATCAGATATCACCTTAATGTCTAGAGAGACGTACAACATGCTGGGAAGACCGCCAATGAAGCCATCTAAGAAAACAGCTAAAAGCGCTTCAGGTGGTGTGTTAAAACTGGTTGGTGAGATGCACTGTGAATTTTCCTTCAACGGAAAAAACTGTACAGGAATATGCTATCTGACAAAACGGCCAAACCTTGATCTTCTCGGTCTAGATATGCTAGAAAAGCTGGGAATAATGGATTTACCCATTAACAGTGTCTGCAGCGTATCGTGTTCATCAGTGGACACCCCGATACTTAAAAAGAAGACAGGTGAAAGGTTACAAGATAAACGAAAGAGGAAGTCAGCCTCTGTTTCTCAGAATAGCCTTGGCCGCGGTACGAATCTGAAAGCTAACCTACCAGCGAAAGCAGATGCCAAACCTACTTCACGTCCGAGACGCCCTATACAATATGCTGTTCATGAGCCTCAACAAAACTTATCGGTGGGGAAGCAGCCCGATCGACGGTTGTCTAAAGATATGGTTCCTACAAAGCAGGCGGCTCGTAAGAGTACGGGTGGCAAGGCACCCAGGAAGCAGTTGGACCCTAGCGCCAGATCCTACGAATCTTCCCAAAGGGGAGGTGTTAGTGGGACATAGATGGATTTAAAGCGTGATTACGTCACTACGCGCTGATTGGCTAATTTCCTATCCAATCAGCGCCTGATCGAAGCTTGGAGAACAGGATAGAAAATTCTCGTATTATTAGCTGCATGCTGATTGGTCAAATCCAGCCCAGTCGATCACGTGAATTTTCTTCCAGAAGTTTTCTCATGTAAAGGCTATAAATAGACTAGCATTGTATTTATCTTTGCCTTCTAGCCTTCAAGCCTTCTAGCCTTCTAGCCTTCAAGCCTTCTTAGCCTTCTAGCCTTCTTAGCCTTCTTCGCTTTCAAGCCTTTTTGCCTTGGCTTTCGCCATCACCTCCAGCTTCTTTTCCTTGCTATTTTGGAATACAATCCTTCCTGTTCAACCGTGTTCTGATTTGTGTTACTTGTCCAGTGTTTTGTGTCAAGAATACTAGGCAATAAGATTTAGCCGGGAAATATCGTAAGCAACCGTTACAACAAAAACAATGAAAGCTTCACAAGTAAACTATTTAACTCAGATAAAAGAACTCCAAATTTTTTTATTCTTTGTAATTTCAGGTTGATAACGACCTGTTTTTGGCTTGAAATCAATACACAGAAAACACAGGGTATATATTTCATACTTATTAATCAGTAAGGTACATCTGTACGTACGAGGTTCTACGTTGTAGCTAACTGACTGGCATCTGTGATCGTAGGGAGGGGGATGATGCCCTATCAGAAATGTAAACTTGTTCTGTTGCAGTGAGGGAGATTACAACTAAGCGATAAAGGTCGCTTTCGCCACAGATTCTAGGTAAAAATATGAGTATAATGACGAGCAAGTAATTCGAATTACTGAGAAATTATGAAAAATCAGTACTGAGAATTACTAATTACAAGTTTGCAACATTAGGATCGGAACTCACAAGGATACTAAATAACCGACTATTACGCTTGGGACATGCAAGAAACTTTGAAACATACAATCGCTGGATTGCCTATCCTATTGTTTCTGAATTCCTGTTGGATTTTATTTTACACATTGAGCCCTTAAAAATGTTCTGCATTATAAAAAGTTGTTTCACCTACATAGCTTCCAAAATTAGGATTTAATTTAATAACTTCAAATGATAATTGTTAGTAAGCTTAATGGTAATGATAAAAAAAGCCACTACTACCACGTGTTTTTGAAAACGATAAATCACGTTGTCATCATGAGACGAATCAACTATAAGAACAAGAATTAATAGTTGACGTACAGCACATTCACTTTAAAATCTAAGGACTTATGGACTAATTATTACAAATTATAATATTACTGAAGAGACATAAAAAAGTTTAAAACAATTTTTCTGCAGAAATCATAACGTTGGTTCGAATGATACAATCACTTCATATAATTGGAATCGAGTAGGTTGGAGGAAAGCTAAGGGCGGCCAAACCAAAACATGGCACAAGTCCATTAAATCACTAAAAAGTAGACTGAGTCATGTTGGTAGATGTAGGATACCTGGTTGGAGTTCGCAAGACGAAAGTCACCGATGGTTAGAGACCTAGAATGACATGGCTCAAAATCGTTTCCAATGGTGCAAGTGCATCCACTCTTTGTGTTCTTTCAAATTCTAACCTTCTGAATTCCTAGTCATCTCTATTTTTCTCTTTCTAAAATTATCTCACTGAACTATACTTCTTGAATAATATCTTCGATGTGCAATTACCGTTTTCAAAATTTAAGAACAATTTAAATTAGTTACAAAAATATTCAAATTATATGCCAATTTGGCATTTCAAACAATTTAGCAGTATCTGATGCATTTTAACTTTCCATAATTAACAAACTTAGTTACTTTTTCTGTTACAGTTTGAAATAATTCTCACCTTGGATAAATCATTGGGATAGGTAATTGTAATTAAAAGAGCTGATTGTTCACTAAGCTTATGAGAATTTTGATTAGTGGAGAAAGTTGTCAACAGTGAATTGAAGGTATGAAGAAGATTTAATAAGATTAATTTGTTTTGCTCGAGATTCTGACCTGTAAAGACTAAAATGAAAAATTCCGAAATAATAATATAAAAAATCAATAAAAACATCAAAATACAGTCCTCCATTGTAGGTACTGATATGGTGTGGCAACTTAGACAGATACACATATGAAATAGATTCTATGACAGATGTACAAATCCAAACGATTTAACATCCTGTAAGATAGGACGGATATTGTTTAAAATGATAAGGATGACATCGATAGAAAGACTTTTAAGTGAATTTCTGTTTCGTTTGCTCATGACATTTTCTTAATTAACTGTAAAAAGTTACCGTTTTCCGGTCGAAGATAATGAAAATAAAATGATCTGGGGAATTCAGTAATCTGGTGAAAATTATCATCAGCAGTACAGTTATCCAAATATATTTGACAGGATCAGTAAGATTAAGACAAAAATTTCCTAATATAACTTCATGGATAATGTATTTTATTTTAAATCAGAGTAGTTTACTAAAACTGCAACAACATTCCATTCTCATTTAATGTACACATTAATGTTGGAAAAATTTAAGCACAACGTCATACCTAGTTAACAAAAATCTATGAACAGAAATATAATTTTGTGAGAACAACATTTGAAGTATCAAAACACCCGTCTGACGATATGTAATAAAACAACTTCTATATATTTAGTACTTTTAATTCAAACGAACAACAAAAACGATAATAGTAACATTATATTAAATGAACTTAATTAATTTCAGTTAAATAATTAGGTGACGAATAAATAGAACTAAAAAAATATCAAATTTTAATATAATGGATAAACATATATATATATATAAACTATTATATGCATGAAATATATATAATTGTTTATTTACTTATGACATTAAGGTCACACATTAAATCTAGCTAGTTAACAAGTAAAGACCATTAAAACAAGATAACTTAAACCAATTATATTTTAAGTCTACAAAAACTGACACAATGAATTACCTGTTTTCTGTACTCCTAATTCTAAAAGACGACGAGCATGAGAATGAGAAAAACCACAACTTGTTGCCCATGGTAATAAACTTTCTAAAAGTTTTAATTGAGAATGATGTGAATCAAAATTTCCCGCGCCGGTAGAAGTGGTTTTCAATATGTGCTCATATTTTTCAGAATTCATAAAGTAATCTCGTTCACTGATACCACTGAGAGCTTGAGGTTGCTCAGTTACAGCATTCGACTAAAATTAATTATTAAAAATAATACCATGAGAACACAAAAACAAATAATCACAAGAAGTTAAACTGATAACTCCAAGTCCTATGAAAAACAAGATGACAAGTAAACTTACTGGTTTGATATTTGACGAATGGCGCTGTCACCCTTAGAACATTTATTAAGGGAATGTAAATTAATCTACGATATTATTTTCCCTCCCACTACATAGTATATAGATAACATAAAAAGCTACAATATCTCAACGAAACCGTATGGAACATTTAAAAGTCGCTTACAAAAATAGGCGGGATGATTAAATTTGAAATTATGTATAAAATTTGGAAACAAATACACCAGTAATTCACCAGGTTTCTTGACAAATTTTAACCCAAAGATAAACTATGTGTCAACCACATTCTAAACCGTGGAAGGACATTTTAGTTGAATTTTTGTGACTGTGTTTGCATATTTGGAAGTGCTTGCTTAAATAACATGATATCATTACAAACAATAAATACAGATACAACGAAACAAATTTACGTAGTTAACCAAAATTATTTGAACTAGTTTATAATTAGGCTATAACATATTAGTTAGTTGTAACATATCTGCTGACTAATTATTTGTGAGAAAAAGAAATCAGTCCTGCCTGGGAAAAATATAGCAACTGAAGGACGGAAAAAACAAGCGTGCTGACAATCAACTATCAGTGATTGAATAGTTAACTCCGCTTCGAGTTATGAAAACCGAGTTTCTTCGGAAGTCACCAGACCTATGTCTCTTTTCACAACCAGAGAAACCATTAATATAGGTACATGGAGTGTTCGTAATTGTCGGAGACCAGAAGGATCATTTATGTTGCTGTGGATATCAAAATATACAACCTGAAGGTACTTGGAATAGGTGAAATAGATTGGGTGAAGACTGGATAAAGAGGTTGCGGTTAACAGAGATGCTCTTGTACTCCAGTCATGAAGACGAAAAAGGCCTCAGATATAGGAGCTGCACTGATACTGTCCAAAGAAGCACAAAAACCAGATACAGGATGGGAATGTCATGAAAACAGGATCATCAAAGCAATCTTTGGTGCTCTTTTGTATTGCAGTGACTTCACTTTTATGAAGAGAACGCGTTTGGTTTAATAGAAACATTTATTATTTACTGAGACTTTTGTTGATTTTTACTTTGTACGCGCGAACGTTCCTTTTGTGTTGCTGCCATTTCTGAGTACACTGCTTACTGTAACTTCGCCCATCTTTTCTGGAACGATTGGTCTGTAGTGATGATCATAGTCAATTTCAACTCGTCCTGCTACAGTACAAATGTTTGCGTTTAGACAAATAAAATAATAAAAACAAAATACAGCCTGTTGGTCTTGAAGTTGGGAGTCTACTGATTCTTTGATTCGGCTTAGAAACTTGAAAACTGGTACTCCGCCTGGAGCTTTTCTAGGGTTACTACCGGTCTCATGCTAGGATAAAGAAGGAGGGTTTGGCACGGGATTACAACCCTATCCTAGAGAAAATAATCCCGCTAGAAAGCGTTAATCTTGCATACTGCACCACTAATAAATGAGAAAAAAAACATTCAGGAGAATAGTGAATGAGAAGTCATAATAAGTCAGACTTATCTAGTATTTTTATGATGGATTCCTACAACTTTACGGCAACCATATTCTTAAAAATTTTGATTTTAGATTAATTAAACCGAACTCTGTGTGGTTAACCATTATCCTTACGAGTTACACAACGTGTATGGTTCATAGTCAAATACATTTGCTTGTGATTAGTTGAGCCTTAATTGTGAAGTTAGATCACTAAAAAATTAGAAGGAAAGTGAAAACGCTTACCTTTATGCCACACGGAACGCAGGAATTTAAAAATGGTGCAGACAATTTCGTAAATTTTGTCGGTGCATTTCCAACCTCAGATGAATCATGAAAACCATTGGAGATAGCTACTTCTTGAGCATGTTTTTGCACTTTATGGTCACTTTTAGGATTATTTATGAAGCCACCTGATTTATTTTGGAATGAATTAGCTGTTTCATATTTATACTGTGAACTAGAAAAAGGATAACTCAAGTTTTTCGAATTTACAAAGTGAGTATCCAAATAGTTGATGATAGACGAACCTTCACTATCATTATTTATTATATCCGTAGTTGTTAAATGATGACTTTGTGGTTGACAGGAACTTAACACTGAATCGTGCATCAAAATTTTCCTAAGTTCTTCAAGCTCATTTATTGTTTTAAGCTCAGTCATCGTAAATGGGTCGTCAGGTTGGATATCAAAATCTTTTAAGTATGTACAAATTGTAGGACTAGCAGAAGAGCTATGAATTAAATCTGTACCAGAACATTCGCGTTTATCACCTGGAATTTTCGTCTGCTCTGATTTACACGGTTGGCTAGATGCTCCACTATCTATTATGCTGGGTTCCAAAATTCTCCCGGAAACAAGGTGACTAGCAGCAGGTGGAGGTGTCATAGAAACGGAAGATGGACACAAATTATTTGAGGAAAGTGACTGACGATCAGAAACATGGACATTGTGTGGTAATTCAATGCCCTGTTTAACACTTTTCTGTAGTGGATTTGGTTGGTCTAGTGGACTTTCACACACAGATGTGGGAGGTAATTTTTCCGAATCTTTCTTTGCTTTAAAATAGTCCTCAAAATCAGCAATCACCTGCCTTTCATGCAAAAAGTCATACTACAAATAAGATACAATAGAAATGTTACACATAAGATGGAATTATGAAGATCATTTCAAAAGTAACAGTACGCGCTAATCATAAAATAATACAATTAGATAAATTTTGTATAAGCAAAGAATTTGAAGAGTCATATTTCGACCTATTTGGTTCGAAGTCTTTAGATACCTAATTGGTCTAAAATAATAAATGTGATTGATTTCCTAACATATCATGAACAACAAGTCGATAGTTACTGATGAGACTATTTGGTGGGTCGAGCATCAGTAGGGATAGTTTCAGGCCAATTATTTGAAAGTTGAATACCTTAGCTAACAAGGCACAACCCAAACTTAGCCAAACTGAATTTTATTGGGTTTCAATAGATAATAAAAGTCAATAATATAATGTCACTACATCTGCTCCCTAATGCTCTGGTACAGTAAACAGTGGGGAGAATCCCCTCTTGTTCTCGAAATATTCGCCCAAGCATTTACACTATATATGAGTGTAAGTTACTTTGCCTATCCGCAGTGATGTGGCCTAGTTCAGAGTGTGGTATGAACAAGACCAAATGAACAACTTTTTGTTATGTATGTAATGAGCTTCGGAAATGTTCGCCTTTCGATATTATCTCCTTCCGTCATTATCTCATTCATTGTTTACATTCAACAAACTACTCTATAAAATGTCGGTGACTCTTATTCTCTGGTCCTAATACTAAATTCCGGAGAACGAATTAATAATTTCATGACTCTCAATAGTATATAAGAAAAACAACTTGTACTTTGAATGTCACACTTTACTCTCGAGTAGTCAGTAGTTATTAAATAAGGTTTTGGACTGATAGCAAGAAATTCCAACTCACCTCTATATTTACACACTAAATGGCTAATAAAATAAACGAGTGAAAGTTTATGATGATGATGAATCTTGACTAGATATTAAGTAATGATTGATCACAAGCATGTTGATACAGGCTTTCATGTAAAAAAAAATATTCCCTCTCCTTATAGATTGATAATCTCTCGTATTCGCTTATATTACTGTGACGTCCTAACCTATTTTTATGTAATAAGTAAAAATAAGTTAACAGCACGGAATCTCAGTTAATTAAGTCAAAGATATTATAGATGACAAGCTGACTGTATGCAATAATCCATTTCAAAATAAGCCGATGAAAAGTAAACAGAATATTTGGTTGGAGCAGTATTACTTTTGATGCTTTCCCGTTATCTAAGAATAACGGTTTAGTTTAAAAAATTTCTGACTTTCTGGCGAACTTCACCAGCCACTACGCCAATAGAAGCGATACTATGACTTACTTGTCAATCAACTATTAAATAATGATAGGAATAATTAGACTTCCGACCATGAAGTAGAAAATGCCTCACACATACAAGGAGTTGCATTGCTGTTCAAATACGCACAAAAACCATTTACAGGATGGGAATCAAGATCATCAACAACCTACCATCGGAGAAAGAACCAGGTTTTAACTGATGACGAAATTAGGAAAGACCAATGGAGGTGGGTCGGACACTGTGAAAATCTCCCAACTGCATCTAGAAGCAAGCCTCAACCTGGGATGTTCAAGGTCAAAGGAAGGGAGGTAGACCAGAGAACACATTGCACCAAGGATCGGAAACATAGAAAAAAGGATAGCAACTGAAAAGGAAGGCGTAGGACAGAGTCGGTCGTAGAATACTGGTCGGTGACCTATGCTCCGTCAGAGATAATGGTGGTAATTCCATTAACACATCTAACAACGATTTCGAAAGATATAATATACTAACCGGTGTTACTACAACCAAGATGAAAACGCTGGAAATCAAAGAGTGAGATGGGTGCACGTATTTACATTTAATAAGACAGCTAGATGACTTCCTAACAAACCAAAAATTTTGTGCAATGTTTTGGTAGCCCAATTAATAGAATTATTGCAAATAGTGCCCTAAAATCATGAGACAAATGACGTAATCAACTCTAACAGCCAGCCATAAAAACGAAAATGCTTAAAATTATGTTTTTTCTAGCTGTATGAATTGTAATTGAAAAGTTTCAGAGAAACCACTCTCTTTAGTGGTATGTAAATATAATTAGATATTCGTCCTTCAATCTGTTGTCCAGTGGAGATAAATTCATAAACTGAGGAGTGAAGCATTTAAAAAGGATACTACCGAATAGCTTTAAGGCTATGGGAAAATCTTAAACCTGGGATTCTTCAGGCTGCGGAATATGCCTATCGACCGTATATTTCTGAATCAGAATGCATGTTTCAATGCGTCGCCACGTGCTCCGCTTTCTGCTTACAATTCCAAGTCGGTACAATTTCTTGATACTTATTCTGGTAAAAATGCAGCTACCGACAAAAAACAATATCACCAAGACGGACTGTAATAATCAGAGCTAGTTTTGAGTAGTTAGAATTATCATATCAAAAGAGCACTGAAGGGTCTCAAGTTTAAGATACATCCATTACCATTATAAAAAGTGTAAAATAGCATATAGAATTAATTTTGGGTGTATGATAGAGAAAGCAATACCTCGAAATCCTGAGAAGAAATCTCATTTAAGGTTGGCAGGTCAGCAATGATAGGAACTCTCACTTTGCACCGGAACTCAACCCCAGAAACCATTCTGGAGCTCCATTTATCAAAGTTACTGTAAGTACCTTTGTCCATTAACAAAGATACTAATCACCAACTTCTGATACATTCTGTAGGCGTTGAAACGCTTAGGATCAGATTTGGCGCTTCCAACTAGGTTATTATACCGTCCCCACTTCCAGAACTCACTGTTCAATACCTTTTTTGCGAGCTACTATGAATCGATCGATTTCTTTGCACTCGATTCTTGTTCTTTCGGCACGGTTCCAGGTATTTGATGGTATGTAATCGATGGTCCGCACTAATTCTCGTTGGCAGTTGTTTGTGCAGTTGAATGTCCTGTGATTTGGATGAAAACGTTTGTTTCTGGGCAGTAGGGGTTGTGGATAGCGGCACCTATCATGTTACCAAGCTGGAGGTTAGTTAGTTGCTATGTGGAGAGTGATATGGGGAAATATCTAATGCTAATTAAAAGAGGCTTCGGAACGAAGTATATAAATGTGTAGTTAAGTTTATGAATAGGTAGAGAATATTGTGTGTGTACCGAAGTGTAAGCGAAAGAAAGGAAAAAGAAGTACTTAATGAGATAGACAAATTCAGTTACCTGAAGAGATAACAGAAATAACATCTAGCATGTCTCAAGACATGCATCAGACACAGTTCATCACGAGGGAGATGATAATCCGTAAATGAGTATGTCTTCATCAAGTCTCTGCTTAAATCTGTCCACCGAGAAGGCTGGGGCTAAACATTATTAAGATTCTGCACCTGCTATATAAATTAACCGATCCATAATTGTTTTTAAACACTAGCTTGTTCTTAAATTTTGAACGTAATGTGGAAATGTTTGCATCAAAAAATTGCTCAATTTAAATAGGTCATAAGTATTCGATCTTCGTAAAGAACTAGTTAATTTACTAGAAAGGCTAAGTTAAAGTACTTGGTAAAACATCCGCCATGCACTAAAACCTGGTTTGTCTTTTAAGCTCTAGGAGAAAAATTCCGATTTTTGCAACTTCCATAAACGAATGCTATGGTAAATAAATCCTAAAATAAAGTCCCAAAAGTATATAATAGGTCGAAATAAATATATTTCTTCGCGGGATTACTAATGTAAATCCCGATAATCCAGAAGTCAAAGAAAAGACAATTCTGGATGAAGAAGTATATTTATCGCTAGCCTCGTGTTATCGGAATAATTACGAGACTAGGGTACACGAGTGGCTAACAACCAGCTAGGAGAATAGCGGAGGGGGAAAAACATGCATGACGCGCGAGAGATGGTCTTTTGTACAGGTAAACAAAAGGAGTGCCGTAAAGCAATTATTGTCAGAGTTAAGTACAATAATAAATGTTTATGTTTCAGCAATTGTGTTATCTTAGTAAAAGTACACCACTACAAGTCTTTAATCAGTCGTCCTCTACAATCCTGTTTTAGGCATGCTACTCGGAACATACTGTGAAACAACTAGTCAGTTTAGACACAGCACAGTTCGTCTCAATGAACATCTCCAAATACTTATATGAAAATGTTAAACCAATCAAGGCAATTTGAGTGATAATCACAATGAAATGAAAAAGGCAAAAGTACAAGTGGATAGTAGGAAGATAGGTGAACCGATAGTAGTAGGACAATTTATAAAATATGATAACTAAAGTAGGTCAAGGGTGGATGAATAGAAATCAAATAATCATCAAAAACATTACGGAATAAGCAGATGTGTAAAAATAATAAAAATAATAAAATTAAATTAAAATAAATAAAATATATATATAATGTCAATCGTTAGTTACGTCATATCCGGCCACGGAAGAGATAGGGGTGTCACGAATTTTTTCTGAACACATAAATTAGGGTTGAATGTGCGTATTCCTATGGCTTCTGCAATGTGTAGGAGACGGGATCGAACTCCGTTGGGAAATGATGGAGGTATACGATAGATCACCCGAAAAGATCTAGATTTATCTACAATGTGACCACTATCTACCAGGTGTGCTAAGATAGAACTGCGTATTGTTTTTGACTGACCCTTTGTAAACCATGCTGGATGTGGTTTCGTTGTTCACTAACGTACCACTCCTCGAGACTATTGATTTCATATGCGAGCAAATTAAAGAAAAACAAATCAACATTGGATTGCCCGAAGATTGCCTTAAGGAATTACTCCTAAGATGCACGATGAATGTCCATTTTGTATTCAACAATAATTATTATAGGCAGATAGACGGTATAGCCATGGGCTCACCTCTAGGCCCGATTCTAGCTGATCTCTTTCTAGCAAAGCTAGAAAATGGACCCCTGAACGAAGTTATTCAAAAACTTGATCTATATTGCCGTTATGTCGATGACACATTCATCATTGTAGATCAGGACACCAGGAAAGAAAAACTTTTAGAACAATTCAACAATGTACACCCGGCAATCACGTTCACTGGGGAAGAAGAATATGATGAAAAACTGTCTTTCCTTGACATCACACTAAGTAGGCGAAAGGATGGTTCACTAAGTAGAAGCGTGTATAGGAAAAATCCTAGTGCTTGCCAATACACTCACTTTTGTAGTTTTACACCTATCCGCTACAAAAGAAATTTGGTTAGATGTCTCACTTACAGAGCAAATATGATATGTTCAATGGATACTGTAAGTCAGGAGCTGGAACTCATCAACGGCTCACTAACCGAGATTGGTTATCCAAGCGCATTCTTAAAGAAGTATATGTCTGCCGTAAAAAAGAAGCCGGTGGTTTCGACTGCCCGAAAGAAGCCTTTGTTTATGAAGCTGCAATTCAACGGAGATGTGGCCTGCGATACTCTGCAGGATAGATTAAGAAGAGTAATCAACAGAACATTCAACGCTGCAAAACTTGCATTGACTTTCTCCAGTCGACCTGCGATGTCTACTCAAACGAAAGATAAGTTACCTGAGCTGGCCTCCTCTATGTGCATTTACAAATTCAGCTGCTCCTGTGGAGATAGCTATATCGGGCGTACTTCCAGGCAACTTACACAACGAATGAGTGAACATCTACCAGCATGGTTTACAAAGGGTCAGTCAAAAACAATACGCAGTTCTATCTTAGCACACCTGGTAGATAGTGGTCACATTGTAGATAAATCTAGATCTTTTCGGGTGATCTATCGTATACCTCCATCATTTCCCAACGGAGTTCGATCCCGTCTCCTACACATTGCAGAAGCCATAGGAATACGCACATTCAACCCTAATTTATGTGTTCAGAAAAAATTCGTGACACCCCTATCTCTTCCGTGGCCGGATATGACGTAACTAACGATTGACATTATATATATATTTTATTTATTTTAATTTAATTTTATTATTTTTATTATTTTTACACATCTGCTTATTCCGTAATGTTTTTGATGTTTTTGATGATTATTTGATTTCTATTCATCCACCCTTGACCTACTTTAGTTATCATATTTTATAAATTGTCCTACTACTATCGGTTCACCTATCTTCCTACTATCCACTTGTACTTTTGCCTTTTTCATTTCATTGTGATTATCACTCAAATTGCCTTGATTGGTTTAACATTTTCATATAAATATTCATGTATATTAGAGTAAAGCCTGATGACGATCTAATCGAAAACAATATTGTTCGCTTATATGTGTTGTTCTAATTTTCACAATGGGAATCTTTAAAAATCTCCAAATACATCATCGCAACCGTTAATACCTGACTTTTGGTTCACATAGATTTGGGCTGAGCGTTTCGACCAACTACTTTGTCTCTGTAATTCTCAAACTTGCTAAGATCTTCCATTGTTGCTCTACTTCCAGTCTGTCAATAAATATTCTTACTTCTAAATTTTGTCGAACAAAGTATAGGGCAACTTCGCTGTCACTTTTATATCGGATTTTGGGGCTTCATTTGGTAAATTTTCTGGATCAACTGCTTTGCCTCATTTGAATCATCTAATGACCATGCTGATTTCTTCACTTGTTGGCGGGGTAACATTTATGGAAATATGTACAGCCTCTGTTTCGATGTTATGTAGATTCAGTTTGGTCGGTCTTGACAAAAGCTCTCCATAGCGTTTTACCCTCTTGTTCAATTCTCTTTATCCACGTTTACCATTGCCCATGAACCGCCTTGTCGTCACATCCTCCATAGTCATTCTGAATCCTTTAGTGCTGCGGACGTGATTGATTTGGTTCTCTGTAGTGTGATCTGGTGAAGCGCACTTAGCTTTGTGTAACCGTTTTTGTGGGAATTCAGTATCCCTTATGAACAGTTTGTTGAAAGCACATAAATCTGTGAATCTCCCCCCAATTTCCTTCCCCTCTCACAATCTATGTCGTCCCGTAATATCTGTAACTCTGGTGTTGTCTATTACTATCCTGGCTTTCAGATCTCCTATCAGATTGGTCAAATCTTTTCCTAAGAATTTCTCTACGATTGACACAAACTTCCCATGGCATTGATCTCTTTAGTCCTCACTGTTATCATTGGAGGGTCTGTATCACTAAATCATGTTGATTCTGTTCTCCACGTTCTTTGTCTTGAAGGGTGCTTTGATGATGAGTCGACGAAACTCCCATCCTATGAGCTATTTTCGTAATTATTTGGACATCTTCAGGCAACTCCTTGTATGTGTGATGTAACTCCTTCTTCATGTCCAGAACACAATAACATCTGCATTCGATGTGTTACACTTATTCCAAGAACGTTCAGGTTGTATTTTTTCATTTCCCCTGTTGCTTGATCAGGAGGATATGCCACTTGTAGTTCACATATTCACTTCAAAATCAAGTTTTTATGTTGACGATATAAGTTTCCTGACACGTCTTATTTTTAATCCAGTAAGCTTCAATAACTTATGCATCAGAACAGTTTTTCGAATGCGTGAATTCAATTTATGTCAGCCGGTTTTCATATTTTTGCCGAGTTTCACAGATTGTTTTTGTTAACTTGCTGAAGATTTAGTTGTTACTTAGAGTATAAATACGAGTAAACTGTTGCACAAACGAACCATCTAATGTGAAAGGCAAATTTCAAGTGGCAAAATTTCTCCTGCAATTTTCACACGAGCACAGGCGAATACTGACATCAAACGTGCATGAAACTTTGTGTGCTAGCCGGGAATTTATTTCAAAGAAAGGATGTAGTTCACACATTGCGAAGAAATACAGCTGTTTAAAAT